CTGTATATATATGTATAGGTATAATAAAAAAAATAATAATTGCATTTATATAGCGCATATCAATGCTCAAGAGCATGCTCTAAGCGCTTTACAACTATTATTACCCAGCAGACCCTCTGAGAACACTCAGAAACATACTCGGTTTCCGCGGAAGCATACAGTGCAAATGTATAAAACAACAGCAGCAACTAAAACGATAAGAACGACAATAACAACAATAAACCATAACTGCTACAAGAAGGAGAAATAACTATGACAGCAACAGTAATATTTAAAAGCGAGAATATTAGTACAAAAAATAATAAATATTAACAATTATAATAAATAAAAACAAAAACAATATGAGCAACAACAAAAACAAGAAAACAAACTTTAGTAATACAACAATAAAAATAAGAAACAACAACAATACAACAATAAGAATTATGAAAACTCCGTCGAGGGTATCACTCCTTCTGCGGGCATCAGTGACGACACCAAGGACAACCACACTGATCCGGTTATCATCAGCAACGACACCAAAGACAACCACACTGATCCGGTTATCATCAACAACGACAACGAAGACAACAACAACGACTCCAACTACAAAAATGAGAACGACGATCTAAAAAATTAATCTTTTCCCATTGACTAAAAAATAAATTAAATTATTTTGAAATGCTCAACTCACGACATGGTGTTCTCTGTTCAAGTAGATGACAGTCCCTGCCAGAGTCCACGGAAGATCTTACAGGACAGAAGCGAGAGGTGGACAGCACTGCTGCAGTCCACAGACTGATGATCTCTCAGAACCGAAGACACGAGATCAACAACTCCTGTGCTGTGTGAAGCCCGATCAGCGAGTGTCTGTCTGACCTCCCAGCGCGAGCAAAGAAACCAGCGAATCCTGGGTATTTCCGTTAGATGTAGGCCTACGTATTTCTTTGTATGACAAACGCTTCAAAAAATTACCACCGCTGTTTTTAGACTTGGCAAATTTCCAGTTACAAAAGGTGTTCCCACTACATGACGTCGCGTCCTACTTTCGATGTGCGGTAGCGAGTGGTAGGAGAGTGCCACTGGTAGGTCCTACTTCTTTTTCTTTCCCCCTCTTGTTTCCGTCTGTTCATTTGTCAATATTAATCTTGTTCGAATCCAAAAGCTACTCTGTTTAGTGCCTTTAAAGTCATTCGGCGAAATCCTGTGAGAACTTTTGTCGCTACCTTGGCTTTATTTCACACGAACTCCTCTCTGTGGCGACGTACGATTCCTGTTATAATCATGCTCCCTAGTTTCAGTCAATTGTCTCTCGGGCAATTCCCCCAACGCGTGCCCTAACTTTCACAAAAAGCCACGAAGACTCTGCGCCAAGTCAACGTTACTACTTGACAAACCAAACTTAGGGATAAACGTCCTTCTCTTTTGAAAGGAGAAGTTCTCGAACAAACGCAGAAAATCCACCACGTTCACGTCTTGTGTATGTGCAATATCGTAGCTCCATTATGTATAGGAATAAACACTCTTCTGACTTTCGTCACCCCCATGTGTATGTATAGCATGTCGCAATGTGGCCATCTATGGCCAACATACGCCAGACAGACCGCCAATTTCTTCCAGAGGAAGCTCAGTAAAGGGTACACTATTTTAAAATACTATTATTATCTTACGTCAGACCAGTTCCTTGGCATCTGCTATCTCGACACTCATGTCCCGATTTCGTGCGATGAATTGAGCAGCACTTAGGAATGGTAGGAAATAGGGTAACTATCAGGAAAACCCAGGGTGTGGGCGTCTTGTGTTTACTTATAACAAAAACGTGGCTCTGTCAGACTCGCCAACACATCACACGAGCACAATACTTATATTATACTTGGAGTAACAATCATATTATTCTCTCACACAAACCTACGTTTTTGAGCGGCACAAATCCGAATTGAAATCTTTTTTTTTCTCTGACGAATGAGATCACTCAAAGAAAAAACGAGAAGTTAAGTTATCCTCAACTTCGGAAACCGTCCTCTCACCAGTCTCTCTCTCTCTCTCTATTATATCTTTCTCTTTCTCTCTTTCTCGGACTCGTTTGACTTGTTGCTGTTTTGAAGCGACCGATCAAGATGCGGGCCAGACCACCTCAACACACCCAGCACAACACACATTCCCACACTCTCTGACCCACACAGCGGGACATTTTCTGGAATAAACTATTGATCAATGTCCCACTTTCAGCTCAAGCCATGTCCCCCAATGCTCCACAAATACGTTTTATGTTTTCTTGTTCTCAGTCTTTCGCCGTCCGCATGTTGGATATGGCAAGCTCTGCTGGATCTTGGTCTTTCCGCTTGGCAGCTTCAGAAAGGACCAACCCCCGCCTTGCGGAATTGACACTAGACAGTTTTCGTGTATCGTACTGTGAACAGATACTCGTTACTTTTACCGTCAACAGGTTGTTGAATTCTAACACTGTTTTACACAATATGTCGATCAATTCAAATAGTTTTACACCTGAATTGGTCGATTCTAAATGTTTATACACGTTGATTAATTTTGAATGTTTTTCACATGTTGATCGATCCTTAAAAAAAGAAAAGTTGAGAGGACAACATCAAGGAATGGACAGGCCTGGAACTCAAAGACACGCTCAGGAAAGCTGAAGACGGGAAGGAGTGGAGGAAGCTGGTGACCAAATCTTCAAAAGCGCCCCGACGGACATCCAATCTACGGGACAGGTGAAGGTGAAGGTGATCGATTCTTAATGCTTTACACCCCTCAACGACACAATTTGGAATACTTAAGAGGAGGGCTGCCTCCTATATGTTCTGAGTGGGATAAAGAGAGCAATCGAGCAGGGAGACGGAGATACTCGAACATATTTCACCTCAGTGAAATCGAGTTGTCGTCTCTTTACTTGCTTATTCCAAGTGCCTAACCACTACAAAGAAGTCGAAAGTGTGGTCAACAGAACACCGACGTTGCTGAAATTCAACTGGTGAGAGATTTTATGGCGGCTTTATTTAAAACCGATAAAAAATGTGAGCTTACGTCGATCCAAACGTAGCTACTTTTTAAAATCAAAAGCATCAACCCAAAAAAATCTAAACAAATTCATACAGTCACCCCTTCCTCTCTTCCCCGATAATGCCCCACCCCTTCTCC